AGAAGAAGAAGAAGAAGAAGAAGAAGAAGAAGAAGAAGAAGAAGAAGAAGAAGAAGAAGAAGAAGAAGAAAGGCTCCAACTCTTTCCCCTTTCTCACTTACCTCCAGAGGGCAGAGGTGGGCAAGGTAAATGTTTTCAGAAACGAGGACAGGATAGCACCAGGAAGAGGGGAGCAACCCTCTGCCACAAAGTTACGCTTCTTCTGATTCCGTGCAAAGGTTGCTTGTGGGCTGAGATTCATGCAGCTGATCAACCCCTCTTGTTTCCCTCTCCCTGCCTAGCCTCAGAGGTCCTCTGAGGCAACGCCCCCCACCGCCGGAGGACATCCTGCCCACAGGTTTTGTTTACCGGTTGGCACTCAGCAAAGGGTTGGAACTTCCCTTTTTCCAGCAAAGGCGCATCAGATTGCAACAGTTTCGCCACCGAAAAGAGAGACAATGTTTGCTTGCTAAGTTCCCAAGCGGTCCAGGTGAACATGCACCTGTCATAGTGGAGACAGAGAGAGAGAGAGAGAGAGAGAGAGAAAATTCTCCAGCCACGCAGTTTTATGCACCGAAAGGCCATTGCTTTCAGGCCAAGCATAGGTTGTGCATGAAAAAAGGGTTCAATCCATCTCTGATCTTTGCTTGGAAAAAAAAAAAAATCTATACGAAGCTCTGGAGAGTCTGTTGGTTTGTAAACAATGGGACACTCTAGAGATTTAAGCCTGCGTCAACTTTATTTCAAGTTTAGGAGCATGGTGGAAATATTTTTATTTCACCTTGGCGGCCGATGCTTTGAGAAGGCATCGTAAAGCTACTTCGGATGGTCTAAAAAAAAAATGTACACATGTACGTACATACATATTTTCCTTCTAGTTTAAGGGCCCTGGGCTGGGGGTTTTCTTACCCCACCTTTCAATTAAGTGACAGATATCTCCATTTTGTCCACTACCTGAAGATGCTCGGCGGAGCTGGTAGTACCGAAACGTTTCAAATTGACACGCAAAGGCAGTCAAGCACACCCACACACAAATGAACAAAGATCCAGGGGAAAAAGGGTTTCATTGTCTACGATGTTGGGAAATCTCCTGTTCCCTAAATGCAGAAAACACAGCGAAATAGTGTGACACGATACACAATAGAGCAATTCCCCCTGCTAAGAAGCAGGGGTGACCATAAGGTCTGGTCAGCAAAGTCAAGATGACGGGTGCAACAGTGGAATTGAAGCTCTACCTGCTTTTTATGGGTGTTTTATTTGTTTATTTGCCGTCTTTCTATAGCTGCCCACCTTGACCGTACCCTGGAGACAACCCTACTGAGAGGGTTGTGGCTCACGGACAGAGAGGACAAACTTTATGTGCAAAAGGACCTTTCGAAAACTCTTTTTTTAGACTCTTCTCCTTCCTCTGATCCTGGATCCAGAGCACCACTGGCCTCATCCAGCTTCATCCAAGAACGAACCCATTCCTGTTCCACCTTTCGCATATAATTGAGAGAGGCTGAACTTTACACCAGTGAGAAAGCCACTCAGGGAGAGAATACATTTAAAACCTCAGTGTGCCTTATCTTGATTTCTTATGACCCGTGTGGGTCCAAACCATAAAGTTAGGCACAGTTGCTACCAACTGATGGAGCTTGGAAGAAATTTCCTTCCTCAGAGGCAGTTGCTGTGTTCCCCAGATGGTAAGGAGAAGTCTCAGGGTCTGAAAGCATCATCTGGTTCCTGGCAAAATCCATTTGGAAGGTGATTTAATCCAATTCTTTGAGATGCCTTTTATGATGTGTTGAGCCACTTCAAACTCCCATTCAGCACGTTCTGCTGCTTATAATAAAATGTGCAGGCCAAACATAATGAAAAATATCTCCCTTCCCTTTCGTAATAGCAGGCATAGATCTTCCAGACCTGACTCCCTCAAGGGAAGTGCTTCTCCACTTTGGGACACAATTAAATCGAAGCCCATTAACCATCCAAGATGTCAGCAATTTATCCCACAAGAGCCATCAGAGACAAGCTTCTACTTCTGATCTTATGGCGAGGTGAATTAATCCTTGAACAATAATGCTCAGGGAATCTTCAGAGGGTGTTGCCTAGGACCTGTTTTACAGGGCATTGTTGAATTTGGCCAAGGAAAGAGAAAAAATAGAAACGTTAATGACCTTTCTGTATGACTTGATTGCACAGACTTCTAGCAGATGGAGCCATGGGCCAAGCAAAGCAGATAGTATTAAACTTGGTTGTCTTTGTTTTATTTTCTAGTGAGGCATGCTGTTTGAACCCAACGTCTTTGATCAGTTTCTGCTTCAATGCATTGGGTCAACCGAGTAGAAGGATTCATTCAGTAACCCAGCTGGGCGCATGGCGTCTATGAAGCAGATGTCCCAGTCTCTTGGCCTTTCTGATGGCATCAGAATATGTGTCTCTATATAGAACATTTATTTTCAAGCCTTTCTATCATCACAATGTTTTTGTGGGGATCAAGGGCAGCCAAGAGAAGACTTTAGAGCAGACCCTTGGGGCCCAGCTCGCGACAGTGGCTTCCCACATCTCAAAAGAGGACATCCCCTCCACAGGAGCTTCCATTACATCAGATTAAACTGAGATGAAGTTTAATGGTTCTCATGTTCAGGGCTGCACAGCACAATGGTAATGCTTGGTCTGCACCGATAAAAAGCTGTTGCAACTCTTCCAGGCTCTGAAGCCCTTGGATGGAGCAAGCCAAAGATTTACACAGCCCTGAACTACACCAGCAGGACCCATTCTTTAATGCACCCATTGTCTGGGGGACGCATGGACAATTCAGGAATCCGTGCAATGACCTGGAAAATGCTCCCTCTTTAATCCAGAACGTAACCGGTTTCTCAACTGGGGAATGACTGTAAAATTCCCTGTCCTATAAGAACAGCATATCAGATTTTGGCTAAGTCTTGCCATGCCTGCGTCTCCGCCAAGTGCAAAGTTACACGGCAGCAACTCCTTTGACTTCAAGAGATCTGAAAAGGAGATAAAACTAAGTTTTAAAAAAAAGGAAAAAATCAAAGAGTTTAAGAGAAGCGCTGGCTCATTGCCATCATTCAACTGCCTTTGGTGGGCTGGTTGAGACAGCAGAGGGACAGGATGATGGCTTGTCACTACATAACTAGCCACAGTTGGTTTAAACTACAATCGTCTGGGTTTTGCACAGGACCCTAAGCCATAACGAGGTGTGGGCAATGTTGGGGGGAGGATATGGGGCTATCATTCTGACCTCCCAGAGGGTGGAGCACAGCAATCATGTTGCAATGACTTCATTGGAAGTAGGAGAGTGAACTTATCTGGCTCTTTTTTCCCCCTGGGGAGGTAAACTTCTCCCATTCTCACCTTCAACTCTGAACATTCCAAAAAATGACCCAAATTTTGGGTCCATTTTGTTTGGGCTTGCTAGGTTAAGAACACAAGCCATCCCCCACTGAATCAGACCTCTGGCCCATCTAGTCCAGCAGTCTGTTCTCCCAGCGGCCCAGCAATTGCACAAGGAAGCCCACCAGACTTCCAGTAGATGGCCTTCAGAGGCAGTCACATCAGGTTCTCACAAGCCCCTAAAACTAACCAAAGTTAACTCTAAGCTTTACAGATTGTGTGAATGCAACCCCTACGGTTTTACTTCACCCAGTCAGGTGGCTTGTGTGGGTGGAATTCCTAGATGTGTTTCATTTCTTGATGGGATTGACATGGCCAATAATCTAGAAATGTCCATCTCATGGATTCCAAGGACACGCCAAGGGCGTGACACCAAAGAAATGCTGGCTGGGGGAAATTTGCAGCATGATGGACACGCGCAAGACGTTTTCTGAAAGGCGAGCTTAGTGGGACAGGGTGCCTAGGCCACGTCATCCTGGGATACTTTTTGAAACTTGGCACCCAAGCCTCCTGTCGCTTCACTGAATTTATATAAAGGTATTGAGAATCGCCTGATAGGAGGGTGGAGAAGATTTGTGTCTGATGCTTCTTAATAGTTTCTGTTCACTTGACAAATTTTTCTCCTGGCTTCCTTGTTGCTTTCATTTCAGAAGGCATGTGAAATTCTCACAGGAGATGGAACCCCATACTGTGGAAAAGGGTTCCAGGCCTTCTTCTGTCTTCCAACACATTTCCAACGGTGCCCATCCCTGGCATCTGAGGCCCCTTCGTCACATAACCCAATGGCAGGGCCGGCCATATTCTTAAGATGCCTATACCCACCTTGCAACTTGTATCCAGGTGTGGACACCTAGGGGCAAAAGATACATAGCTCAAAAGAGGGAAAAGCCTTGGTTAACTTCTATGTTCTTTAATAAAATACCCAACTAATCTTACAGCGTGGGACTTCTTCAGTCTGGCTGGGCACTGACATCCAAGCTTAAAATCTACCCCTGGCAGGACCCAACTGACATTTTTAGTGTTATTATTGCAGAAGCACTGTATAAATGTAAAAGATCAAAAACAGAGATGCAAGGAGATGTAGTATAATAAAAAAAAAAATTGCAAAATGAAGTGTTCAGTAGCACACTCTTTCCTTCATTTTTCTTTTCCCCAGCCATGGTACTAAGATTTGTATACTTTGCTTTAAACTTTAACGGTTATTGCTTATATTTATTTGAGTCATTTTTTTCAGTTGTCTTTTAATCAATTTCTCTCATTTCTTCAAAGGCCATATTCTAAATGTTTTAGCTTGCCTGGCTGTGTAATATGTTGTAGGGAAGGAAGGCATATCTGCTTTAATTTAGTCGGTTGTGAATTTATACAATTTCTGCATTGCTGTGAATTTGGTCTCCTGATCTTGCAGACCCAGCTGGTTTTTGAAGACATCCAAAAGCTAAACATGACCACACTTGGATGAGAAACCATTAGGAAATTCAAGAACTGTAGACTGGACTGGGGAGTTAAAAAGCCACCCCAGAAGGGAATGACCAATAATTTCTATATTGTTGCAAAAATAACAAGGTGGATGTCTCCATGAAGCCATATCTTGACTCAGTTTATTTTTATTTTTAAAGCATTGAAATTGCAATATTCAGATGTCACCTTGAGGCCATGCTGTGCAACACCTTGCAAAATATCGAGGAGGGAATCTGCTTAATTAAGTTTAATGATTGTTTTTCAATCCCATGTTAACCAAAGTAAAATAAGACTGAGCAATGAAAGGCGGCATTATCATATAACTAGGGGAGATAAACATGTATCCACAAACAAGGGCCAAGTTAGAGGTATCAAAGAAATAGAAGTTGCTACTTCACTCCAAATCCTCAAAGAGAAAGCTCTTTATAGCTCTTCCTTTGGAAAAGGGCCCATTGATGGATGCAAAACTTGAGAACAGGTAGGGCAAGATTAGGCAGATGGGGACAGAAGGAAAACACCATCTTTGTCCAAACACGAATCAGGCACCTGCTCCTACAGAACCAGTGGTTCTGTTATCCCTCATAATTCTTGAGAAAAGTGATTAAAAACCCAGCACAGGATCCTCTTTGTAAGTGGAACATATTTGTTGAGATGTTCTGATTGTCCCAACTGCCCATCCGTAACCGGACAAAAACGCCATGTAGTAAAGTTTCCGTTACATTAAGGAGAAAATACAGGATAGGAGACAGAAAGGAGTGCAGGTAGAGAAAAAGAACAAGACTATCATCATTGTCAAGGTTTCTTTTTATTAAATCACACCTTAAAAGCTAGAAACTTCCATTTTGTTTTAGGAAACCACCTTAGGAGAGAAGCAATCTAGCTTGAACGGGCAGGCCCAAAAACATTTGCCTGGCCATGAACCAACAGAGTCACTCTTCATTAAGGACACTAAAGGAAGAAGGTTTAGCAAAATTAAGAACTATCGTGCTGGATCCTACCAAGGCTTGACACGTTGAGAGCTCCCTAACCAAGACCTACCAGAAGTCACTAAATGCTACATGCAGGTCCTCAAAAGAGCCAGTCCCCTTGGTGTTATTCAGCAAAACATTTCTTCAGTTCACAGACTTCCCACCATGTCCAAGATCAGTGGCCACTCTTAAAGAAGAAGAAGAAGAAAAACCACACGTATGGCTGGGCTTGTACCGCAGAAGAGACAAGCCACCTCTCAAGTTTTAAAGAATGGCTTGTCTCTTCAGAAGCAGAAATGGCTGTTTCAAGCAGGCAGATTTTCCATAGCATGCAGAGTTGGTTCCTATGCATGTATATCTTTTCTGATGCAAGATTTTCACCACAGGTATCATTGGGAGCTTCAGAACACGCCAGGTGTGGTATCCAAGGCCTCAGTCCATGTTGTTCCAAAATCTTCTCAAAACTGGCCATTCTGGATACGAGAAAGTAGTTTTCGTTTCTTCTGTACAGTTTTTATTTTCCAAATAAAATTACAGTTTAGTTATATCCTTAATCCCAAAGGCAAAGAACAGCACCCAAAACTCTTTTCCTACTCTACACCCATTTATCCTCACAACAACCCTGTGAGGTAGGTAGGCTGAGAGAGGGCGACTGACCTAAGGTCACCCCATGATTTCCATGGCTGTGTGAGGATTCAAACCTGGGGTTCTCCGGTGAATACGCACCACACTGTTCATTACACCACAATGTATTTCCTCTAGATGTATCTTAGGGCATTATTAACCCTGTTTTGGCTATGAAAAGCCTATCTTCCATACCAATCTATTCCTTGAACCCATGTTCTTCATCATGATTCCACCCTGATCCATGTGCCATACTGAGTTAGTCCAGCTTTTCAGTTGTCCAGATACTGGGACACCATAAAGCCATTCAGTTGACGTTGGGATTCTTGTGGGCAAAATACACTTTATACACATCAGCCTTCCCCACCTGGCACCATCCTGGTGGATTATAGCTGCAAATCCCGGATTCCCTGCATGTGGGCTGGGAATCTTGGGAGTTTAGTCCAAACACATCTAGGTAGACTGGGGAAATGTTATTTTATGTAAATGCCCTAGGTTCACTCCATCACCATATGGATAAAATGGTAGATGACAAGGCCTACTCAACCATTCCCCTTTTCATTGAAAGGGTAAGACAGAACAGGGCCCAAATTTAACCTTGTTTCTGCCCAAACTTCAGATTACAATGGCACTGAGTCCCTATGGTGTCCATATCTCAGAAAGGGTTGTCTCAAGAATGAGACTGCAAGACACTGAACCCTTGTCACGAAACAAACTTGCATGTGGAGACCAAATGACTAGGGAGAAATGGATCATGGTCCTCATAGATCCCCAATGTTTTATTGCTATAGACTAGGATTTGTAAGCTCAGACAAGATCACAATACCAGCTGTCCACCATGAGAAGCTTTGGTGTAGGTGTAACATCTCAACTCTTCCAACCCTCCATTGTTTATAATATAGTGACCCTTTGGAGGGTGTTTGAAGGCTCAACACTTGCTAATACAGCAAGTGTCTGAATGGGTGGGATTTTAGCAAGGGGTCTCTCCCTGTGCTAAAGCCCAGAAGGTCCAGATGGCGTTTGTAATTCCAGATGGCTCCACAGATTCAGAGCATTGATTTTTGCCCCAACTGTACTTTACAAAGTAGAGGTACTAATGCAGGGAAGAACCACAGTCCTTATGTGTCAAGGCTGCCTTTTTAATTCCTGGCCTCTCTAGTAACAGCGCCATCAACAATGACCTTGCCCAGGATTTAGAGAGCTAATGAGATACTGCACCAGAAAAGGCCAGTTGTCTAACTGAGTTGAAGGAGCTTTTTACTAGAGAACCTTTTCTCATGAGCAGAAGTGGAGAACAATGGCTTCATTTCAAACTCAGTTGGAGGACACTGTGTTGCTTCTAAGGCAGCTATGTAAGCTAAAAGCCAGCCTGATCATCTAAGCCCTGGAAGAGGCTGGACCAAGTAGCTGAAGTTCTCCCTGGAGATCAGAAGAGGCATCTGACATTTGCTCATGAGAAGGTGAACCCCAGGAGCCAAAAGCCACAGGACTTTGGTGGTTGCACCAATTTCACAGAATGGCTTTGCCAGAGCAACAGAGCAACCAAGTTTGCAGGGGATCTGGGGGCACAGCCTGGAAGGAGGTGTCCTCACTTCCTAGCCTACAACCTTGGAATTCCCTTGGTTGTCTCTCATCCAAGTAGTAACAAGGGCTGACCTTCTGAAATCAGCCAAATTTGGCTAGGTGCTACCACCTAGAAGTTGGTGTTAGGGGAGAAGAGACCCAAATACAACCATGCTCAAGAGTGCTCTCTGGGTTGCCAGACCCTGGACAATGTGTTGGTGACACCCCTGTGCACCAGGAAGATAAAGAGTGTCCTTAAACACAAACATCCCTGCTAGAAGTAGACACCCTTAAAAATAACCCTGCCCATTTTTGTAGCCTTCCCCAGTGGAAAATAAGAGAAAACAAGTGAAGATCTGACTATCCAGAAGGGTTTCTGATTCACCCTGGACAGAACGTTGTTTCACGGCCGCCCTTGCACACACTTAGGAGCCACTGAAAATTTATTCTGAAGATATGCAGCATTTTTTCTTCTTCTTCACCAAGATGGAAAGCTCAAAAGCACGTTGCTTCCTCTAAAAGCCCTTAGATTTCACCATCAGGCAATGCACGAATAAAAAAGATTAACGATCCGTTAAAACGTACTGGAAAGGGGTTTACTAACCAGGCAGAGGAAAAGAGGCAAAGTCTTTGTTTAAAAAGAGGGGCACGGACAGTGGCTTCAGCTGCTCTGTGGTAGCTTTTCAAGTCCTCAGCCCACAGAGCTCATGGCCTTGAGACTAAGGAAATAAAGAATCATTCTGCCCAGAGAAGAATTCTTTTTCTATTTCAAGGAAAGCCGTATCCTGCCAACGAATACAAAACGTCCTGAACAATGACTACATCTCTTTCTATCGACTTACTCTTTTCACAACCATGTTGTTCGCACACGTTGGGCCGAAGGGATCACAGCTCTGCGTCCCACCCTTTGCACAAGTCACACTCCCAAATGCTTTCCAGTTGTCACCAGAGGTAACCGCCAAGTTTCCAGGCTGATCCTCCCAAGATCCTGAAACTCCCTCTGCACCTTTTAAGCAACATAGACCAAACTCTATTCCTTCAGGCATGCAATGAGAAAAAGAAGAAAAAATAGTGTATGCTTTTGAATGGGTGTGACGCTGGCACGAGTGATTTTTTTTTATTTCTGCAATGTCGTCTCCATCCTTAATTACTCACTCCCCCAATCCCCTAGACACAGAAGAAGATTGCAAAGGAGACTCCAGCAGAGACATTCTTATTTCTAAACATTTTTATGTTCCTGGGAGGATAGAGGAACATAAAAATTAATCTCGGCGGAGGTGTTCGCCCAAAGACAAGCGTTGATGGCTTTGAATTCCAGGGCGATGGTTTGGGTGTAAAAGGTAAGGAAATATTTTCCACCAGCACAACCAGCAGCAATTCATCAAGGAATACAGGGACCAGGGAAGATCAATCAGCTTTTTCCCTCGTTAGAAAAATGAAGACCTTTCTAAAGGCTGCGGATTTAAGGTGGAAACGTTTCTTTCTTTCCCCCCCCCCCCTATTCTAGGTTTCTAGGAGAATCGATGACGTGTAGAATTGTCAGAAGAGTTTGCAATGGCTCTACGAAATAATAGATTTCGAAATTTCGGGGTGGGGGGCAGATGTTGATAGACTTGGTGGCTGGAATTGAACCTCCTCGTTCAGGAGCAGTTTAGGGGAGAATACTGGAGGCAAACAGTAAGGAATGGCTGCGCCCACAGACCTTGTGGGTGAGTTTCTATGATGATTTGTTACATAGGTAAGGTTGACACATGTGTTTATTCTGATCTGGATCTGCAGACTGGACTCCCGTCATGCATACTGGCAGTCTAATCCACTAATACGTGGCCCAGCTCAAACGTGGATCGTCCTGCACACCTGAGCAGGTATGCCCATATTTCCCCCACACCGAGAAAAACTCAGCGTGCAAAACCAATCAATAAAAATGGGTTAGTGCATGATTTTTCACGGATGAACTGCCACAGTGGTCTTGCACCATGGAAGAAATGTCTGACACGCACCCCCTGGAGGCACACCCAACAGCAAACCCCAAACACAACCCTTTTTTAAAAAAAAAAGGCCAAGAAAACACAACCTTGTACACATCTTCACTCTCCTGATTTTGCCATTAGCAAAACCCGACCGATTATAGAAGTCTAGAGCAAGGAGTAATCGGTCATCTCTCCAGAGGAGCAGGGTTGGTCCTGTTAAAGGGTTGTCTCGTTAACTTTTCCTAGTGTTCGGTTGCCCCAATTCCGTATTTTGAGAAATCCACTGGGAATGGGAGGTTATCAGGTGTTCTCTGGATTTGGGGAGGGCTAGCGCACTTCTTTCCAAGTTAAAAATGGAAAAATTCAGAATCTGAAAGATCTGTTTGCCAAAAAAAAGGGAAGGAAAAGGGATGGGGGGTTGAATCTCAACCCTGTTCTCTTGCCACATCACCTGCTGTCTAACTAACTCTCTTTGACTGCTGTTAGAGAATGAGATGAAGACCAGAATTTAAGCGCCAGCCATCATGGTACCCCCCAAAAAGAATAAATGGTCAAGAAGAGGGTTGGAAGCTTTCTTCCATGGGGCTGTTACCATATAACCAAAGAAATTGTTTAGAACATATTCTTATTTCCATTTCTCTATTTTCTTCAGAACTTTAGACAAATGGAGATAGGCCACCACTTAATTCCTCCTGGGTCCTTCAGCTCCTGAAGACACCAAACTTAACCCTGGAAAATCACCTTATCTCTAGAGAAGGCCAAATTCCTTCCTCCTCTTGCCCCTCGCTCTGCCCCATGTAACAAAGCCAGATCATTTCTTTCACAGCCATTTTCAACCATTTCTTCCAAAAGGGAACATGTTGAAATCTGGATTATTCAAATATACACACAGAACAAACAATGCTAGGATGAAGTCCACCAAGAAACTGTTTGGCACAGACTTTTCTCTGTGACAAGGTGGAAAGAGAGGGTGGGGAAGATCCCTGGGCGTTGAACTTTGATGCTACACAAAACCAAGTTTGTCCCCCCCTCCGCCCTCTGAAATCGAACTGCTACAGTTGACACTCCCCGACTCAACGCAACAGCCCACTGCTTTAAAAACAAACCAAACAACAGAAAAAGTGAACCGCAAAGTGAACTGCAGTGAGCTAATCTTTTAAACATGGCTATTGGTTTCTAATCTGCAAACTATTTATATCTATTTATATCTATTTATATATCTATATATATAAATTGGCTGAAGTCCACCTCAGCCCTATCAGCAGATACAGGTGGCAAAACTCTGCTTTTGCCAAACTATATTAAGGATACTGCTCCTTAAATTGAAGTATGAGGTCCGCCCTGAAGGGAACTTCTACAGTTAAAGTGTCCCTCAACAGTTTTACTGGAAACCAAGTCAAAGATTGCAGAGTTGCAGGTCTGCGGAAAGAAAGTAGGTGAACTATCATATCTATAGCTATCTATAGATATAAATATAGATATGAAGAGACAGATATATAAAGATATATTACTATGTCAAATATATTCTCAAGCAGACTCAAAAATATCTCATTGACCAGATATTGATGTGTGTGATACGGCAACAGCTGATTAAATATTCCCTGTTTGTTTAAAAAAAAAAATTGCACTTCTGTATATGTGTATGTATGGGGGTGTGTGAGTTCACACGCATTATTAAAATGGATGAGATTTTTTAAGGTCTGGCTTTCTTCAAACTCATCAAAGGTTTTGATCTTTCATCTCCAAGCACGCAAGACTGAACAAAGAAGGTTCTCGTCCTCCAAAAGAGAGGAACATCTGCGCATGAAAGCGAAACAGGGATAAACAAGATGATGGATCGAGTCTCTATAGGAAACCTGAGCTTCAAATGTCTTCTAAAAAGGACCTGCAATGGCATTGGGCCCTTTGCAACCTAAACCGGCTCGGTCCCCGAGGATGCGCCATCTTTCCCCAATTCGCAGTGCTCCATCCGTCTTGACGAATTGTGCCTCAAGTAGCCGGCTGACCTCTTCGAACGTTGACGTCCTAACGCCTCCTTTGGCTCCTCCACGCTACCGCCCTTGGCCTCCTTGCAGCTGTGAAAAAGATCTCCCACTGTACGATGCTCGCCCGCTTGGGATTCCCGTGAAATTCCTCCTGGCCAGTGCTGACGGCTCTCACAAAATGTCATCGTAATCTAGCAGCTTGGAATGCTGGCGGGTCTTCCAGAGTCGGTAGAGACGGAAGTCAAAGTAAGTCTCAATCATTTCCTTTCCTGCAAGGAGAAGGTGGAGAAAGACAGCAGGAATCCAGACCTAAAACCTTGTTTGAAAACCCTGGAAGAACCCATTGGGCAACCTGAAGACCCCTGAATGCCCTTTTATGAGATCCCTGGAACCCCCTTTGAGTTTCTCATCATTCTGTAGAGAGTAAGGAAGAAAATTTTGATGGAAATATGCAAAGACAGTTACCCAGGGCAAAAGGGGCTGAAACATTTTTTAAGTCAGAAACAGCTCAGGGAGATACCTCCCTAATTCACTGGACTACAAGAAGGGGAAGGAGGTCCAGCACAATCAGACTGACAAGATCCTGATATTATAGGTTATCTCAATAAAGTGTAGTTCTGGTCTTCCTCTGGAGCTGGTCTACCTAGTGGGGCTGGCAGTTTGGATAAGAGGAGAAGCTTCTTTTTCACAAAAGTTACACCTTAGACCAGAGGCACACAACTTTGGTTGGCTTGAGGGCCACAGTCCAGCTGTAGATGACATTATGGCCTGTCTTGTTGGAGAAGTCAGGATTGTTCATCAGGAATATGATTGGGGGCGAGGGGGAGTTTTTAAGCAGTAAAATGTATGCCTTCAACCTCTGTTGGGCTCCACATAACCATTTTGCCCATGAAAACCCACCAACCACCTGAGATGTTTAAAGGTTTAAAAGGAAACACATTTGGTTCTTCTTGTTCTGGCAGTTTGGATTCATGACCAGCATTTGTTGCCGAAAGCAGATAAAGCAGAAGATGCACATCTCCAGAGATGGGATGGAGAACGCCATGGGCGATCAAAGGCACAAGGGGTTTTCATGTCTCTTCTATCTATTTGTTCTATTTGTACCAATTAACAGTGGTGTATTTTCACTGGCAGAGGAAATGTGAATCAGTTACCCCCTTTACCTTGAGCAGAAAGTTCAAGTGGAGATTCGAAGGTCACTCGACAAGGGCTCATTAGATTCTTTAAGTTTTGGAATAGCTGAAAAGCAAAGAAGTCCAAGGTGATTTGGGATGCCTCCTTAGATATGGGATAAATAATTGGCTCCAGGTGTCTCATTTCCACTCCATGTACAACTGGGCTTAGCAGCTAACTGTAACATAGTTATTGGGGCAACTTAATCTGCACACCTCAATTTAGCTTCCGAGAGTAGGTGATGCATCCCCAAAGGTTCTACTCTCCAATAATGCTCTGTGGAAAGTGGGAAAATGCTGTCCATTGGTATCTCTTGCCTGAGGCACTAGCATCAGTTTGTCTCATGGTAGAGCCAGCCATAACTAGGGCCATCAAGTACTCTAATGGAGGAAGAGTCCCCTGCTTTCACAATGGGCCAACAGCAGATTCCTATCCCAACAACAACAGAGACATGTCTCATCAAGTGGTGGAACCCACACATTTCATGTGAAGATAAGCCTGGATCATGACCCATGGAGATCACCCTCTCCGTAGGTCAAGGAGGGAGCCCAAAGCTAGGGAGTGGGAAGTAAAGATGCTGGTTTGAACACATACGTAGGCTGCATGTAGAAGATCTCAGATTCAACTCCTTCCAACTCCAGAAAGATCTGGGCAAGTAACCTGCCTGAATTTCTGGACTGCAATACCAGAAAGTGGAGCTCATGGATAGGCAAGTGACTGTCCTCTCTATGTTTTGGACCCCAAATCCCGTCAACTTCAATCAATGTGTCCAGTGGCAAGAGATGATGTCAGCTGAAGTCCAAAACAATCTGAGGGCACCAGCTTGACCTTTTCTGGCATTGACACATAACTGAGATCGATGGACCAAAAAGCCTGACACAATATAAGCAACTTTGTACGTTCACTTTTTAAAGGACAGGGATACAGCATGGGGGGAAAGTCCCTGTTTTGCACGACAAACATTCCAAGTTTGATCTCCAGCATCTACAGAAGAAACATTGGAGAAGATTGGAAAGATTTAGACCTGGAACCTTGGAGAAACACTGCTAAACTTGATGTAATGCTTCCTGTGGTCCCATAGCTTCAGGTGAGAACAACAAGCTCTATCTAAAGTCTCCTAAGCTTAAGTGTTGAGTACAAACATAGCCATGAAGAAGGTTTTCAGAATGAGTGAGTAGTTCAAGAGGCTAGTTTCTCTTCCACCTGTTCACAAACTACCATAGGACTTACCTTCTCACCATTGTGATTCCCCAAGACATAACATCCCATGATGTGGATGACATTTGGACCTGGGTTCAGCTTGCTCATGAGATGACCCAGCCGCTTCCAGAAACTACAAAATGAGATGGAAGAATGTTTGAGCCTTCTTTATTTTCAAAAGATCTCCAGCTGCAAGACACGCCCTGCAAATTCCTAAAGAGGCTTCCACTCACTAGATCATGTCTTCCTCCTTCTCCACTTTTGCAAAGGTGGCGACTTTATTCTTCAGGAGGTATAAATGGCCTGGGCCACCCTGCAAGAGGAAAAGAGGGAAAGTCTTCCAGAATCAGCCTGGAGAACATCAATCTTCTTCTCAAATTGCCAGGGCAAAGAGAAGAGCCTGAGGAACACCTAGAGAGACATTGGTTTGGGATAGGACAAGCCACAAATGCAATCCTGGCCCAAGCTTGACCATGATAGGAAAAGTCAGCGAGGGAATAGGAGAAGAGGAGCATTTGAGGAGCAAAAGGATTGTCAACCTTAAGGGGGGAAAAGTGTGGGCTCAGCAAAGCCCTTCTGGGCAAGTGGGGCTGAAACTTTGAGACCCTTTCTTTGCAGAGATTAGGGGATTCCGGGGCAGAATAAGAGCCTTAAACCTTGCACAGGCTTTGCACCCCTTCCATCTCCCCCCAATTCTTCCCTGAACCCAATATCTGCCACTGAGAGGAGGGATTTTGAAGGGTCAAATAAGTGTCTTAAGCCATTCACATCACCCAGCCCCCCAAATGCAAAAAGGGGGGGGGGGAACAGGTTTGCATTGCAACAACTCCTGTGACTTTCTTCTGCCACTTGCTCTTCTACAAAGCTGGGATCCAGGACTGGCGGTTGCCAAGGAGATCACACACATCTGGAAGATGGCGCTATGCAATTGCTTTGGGGGTAGGGAGGAAAGAAGGCACTTTTATGAGAACGATTTGTCACTGTCTATCCTCACTCCCTCAGGGAAGGTTGCCAAGCCTGAGAGCCTGAGAAAGTCGCAGTCGACGCTTTGGAAGAACCGGTGGCATTTAGGGCACACTCACTCACCTGGCAAAAAATCAACATTTTCCAAATCTTGCAGCCCTTCCGATAGATGTTCAATTTCTTTTCAATTTCCTCTGGAGACAAATGGGGAAGAGGAAGAGGGAATGAGTCCCACATGGGGAGTTTAAGCAAGAGGGAGAGAGTGTACTAGGAAGGAATGGGGGCAAATGTGGGTGAAAATGAGCATTTGTCAAGGCTGGAAGACCAGGACAGAGGCTGTGAGGAGTCTCCAATTCTCCCAACCCCACCATTAGGCTGAGTGTTATTATTATTTTGACCTCCAGGCCCCGGGGGATTTTCTATCTTGAGTGTCAAAATAAGCAACTGTCTCTAAAAATGACATTCCCTAACTTTGATGGCTGGGTGAAGTGCCAAGGGGAAGGACACAACAGCTGGCCATCTCAAGCTGCTAGTTCTCCCTTAAATCATAATGCAGGAGTCAGCAACCTGGGGTGCCAAGGCTGTATCTGCCCTTCCCGTGTTTTCAGTCCCTGGAAACCCCTCTGGCTGAGCTGCCCACGTTTGAAGCAGGAAATATATGAGAACAATGCCATGGGTCCTTAAAAGGATGTAACCCATGTTTAAAGTAAGAAATCAATGTCAATCTGTCCATCACCTCCACGTATTATGGGGAAAATTGGAAAGTTGAGGTACCCAATCTTACTCTGCCCCCTTTATCCACTGGCTACTATAAATTTGCTCACCCTGGGGGAGAGTGAAAGAAACTGTTTGAGGGAGGAAAAGTGAGGGAGGGATAGAGATTCCCATAACTTTAAGGACCCAAAAGGATATGGCTCCTCCTCCTTTTCTGTTGGAGTGAATATTGGACTTCCTACATCCCAAAGGATCTACTAAGATCTCCCTTTCCATATATCCACATTTCCACCCCATAACACTGAGCAACAGGGCCTTAGGCTAAGCTGCCAGACACACGTATAACACAACATCCACACAATGACTTCATTTTATTTGTGACCCAAAGCTGACATACCCAGAATGTCATCAAAGGTGGCGTGTTCATGGTCCTGAAAACAAACAGAGACAAAGATAAAAGCTCCCAGTTGTAGCCGTCAAGGAGGATCAACTGAGACCAGACAATGTGACAGAGAGAAGGTTGGTGGGGTACAAGTAAAGATCTATAGTTCAGGGGAGAGATTAGGTCTGAAAAGGTAGGTAGGTAGGTAGGTAGGTAGGTAGGTAGGTAGGTAGGTAGAGATGTTAGAAAACAGAAAATAGTGTAAAATAGAAGAGAAGAGAGAGAGAGATGAAGTAGGAGAGATAGCTAAGTAGGTGGGTGGATGGATGAATGGATGGAGAGATGATAGATAGATAGATAGATAGATAGATAGATAGATAGATAGATAGATAGATAATGAACAGACAGACAGGAGGTGGGAGATGGAAGGATGAGTAGGTAGATGGAGAGAGAGAGGGATGGATGGATGGATGGATGGATGGATGGATGGATGGACAGATGGACAGGAGGTGGGAGATGGAAGAATGGGTGGGTGGATGGATGGATAGAGAGAGAGAGATGAGAGAGGGAAATGGATGGATGGATGGATGGACAGATGGACAGGAGGTGGGGGATAAATGGGTGAGTGGGTGGATAGATAGGAGAAGGAGACAGACAGACAGACAGACAGACAAGACATTCCCTCGCAGCTGCAATCCACAGACTTACATAGAGAATGGGGATGATAGATGGGTCATCACGGCGGATAATTGTTGGGACATACTCAGCTTTGGGCACCTTCGAGGAAATGAGCTGGAACGAGAAAAAAGCAGGAGGGGAAAAAGAAGACGAAAGAGAGGATTGTAACAGGCAGGAGTTTTCCTTCTAACAATGAAAGCTGGCAAGAGCCGGGAGCAGGACAAGCAAGAGGCAGACAGGACCGGTTTTGTGTGTATGTGTGCGAGAGTGAGTGCCCGTACATGTGCATGTGTGCGAGTTAAGGGCATGTTGTGCCACTGGAAAATCATGAGCTGATCATCCCACCCAGAGGGCCCCTGCATGGTGGTCAAGAATGGTTTACCATGATTTTGGGGGGAAGGAAGTCCTCCCCACTGCAGGCAGCCGCTTCCAGCTCTTTCTCCGCCTCCCAGTTCAAGTCTACCCCTTTGTCAAGGGCACAGAAGGAATCCTGGAATTCATGGCCTGTGGGCGAAAGAAGGCAAGAGTCCTGATGCCCAACTGGGAAGACACAGAAATTCCCATGCGTTCCCAGTGCGTGGACAGCATGCTCCGTTCAGGATGTGACCCCAATGAAACGTAAGGATCCCACCCCAAAAAACCCGACATTGCAGAATCTGTCTGAATCCTTGAGTAGCAGAACAAGGGTGAGGTGGAGAGACCTGCAGCACTCCAGCCATTGTCCAACTACAACAGATCCTGATGAGGACGTTGGAAGGTTTAGTTGGGAGGATCACAAGTGGCTACATAAAAGCTACGTAAAACCCTTCAAAACACCCAATTCATCTACAAGGTCAAGGCAACCTTCACTGCCCCTAACCTCACTTATCCCTCACTGCTAAAGCTTGCTTAGGTTGAAACTTTGCTGGCCCCCTCCCTTGCCTAATTTCCAATTAAATTTAGGAATATTTGGGAGCTGGCCCTGGGTTTGTGGGAAACCCAGCACAGGGCTTAACTCTTTGCAACTCTCTTGAAAATTTCACCCACCGGCCTTTGGTACCCAAGGTTCACACCACATTAAGCTACAATGTGGTTTATTTTGACCTACTGTATGAGTGATGCAGGGCATGCTGGCTTGTTCAACCAACTATGGTTCAACAATCCTGGCTTAACACAATGGGTGAATTTGACCATTGAATCATCTCACGGGTCCTGTTTGACCAAAAGTCATGGTCAGAGGTTGCTTTAAGATGAACCTAGATTTAAGTCCACAGGAAACATTCAAGTCACTTATTCCAGTTTCTCCCAGTTATGCAGTCCATGCCAAACTGGCTTTACTGTAGTGGGGCCAAGACAAAGGAACATACTTTCTCGGGAATCATTGAGGTTTTCAGGCTTAATGGGAGTTGGATCGCTCCAGGACCGGCTGAAACTTCTCT